GTGTATTATTATCATTATTATTATTATTATATTATATTATATATAAACATTTTTTCAGACCAATTTCATTCGACGGAAATACGTCACCTAGACGGAACTCTTTAATCCCTGACCTAAGCCTCAAGAAATGTGTTTGACTAGTTATTCTTGCCAAATACTGAAAGAATAGATCGCAGACTTGCCTTCAGATAGTTGTGCTGCCTTTCCTGCTCTGCTTTTAGGTAAAGACGAGTCAGGCGCCCAAGATTTTTCTTGCACACGGTTTTGTCGACGGTTGCTCCTCTGCGGATTCGCTCACGGTTGTAATGAGCCGTGTTGGTCCACCAATCAGCTTTTGCTTTCACGTATCTCAGGATCATGTTCTCGATTGGAGTAGGCAGACCTGGCACCTGGACATGACAAGCATTTACATTTTACCCAATACGACTGGTGAAAAAGAACAAAGAAAAAAAAAAACAATGAACAAACCTTCCATGGGATGTTAGCTTTCCAGCATCTCCAGGACTCGCTCAGATGCTGCAATATTGTTCTGGCCTTGTTCTGCTTTATACCCTCTGGCATCATGTCCAAGATGTCGTGCATCACAGCAGCACGCAGCTCCAAATCAAAGTGAGACTCCACACGCTGCTTTGTGACAGTCTTGGCCACACCCTTGGAGTGACGGCCTGAAAGATAAAAATTACATTACATTTTATATTCATTCACAACAAGCAGTAGAAACCACGTGATCAGTTCTCACCTTCAAACTGTCTGGCAAGAAGATTTCCAAGCCACCTCTCCAGCAGAGGAGTTATTCCACGCATGAAGAAAAGCCACACTCTCCAGCCAGGCGCCCAGAATCCACAACCAGGGCCCTTTCCTACAGGTCCCTGAAATGGAAATTAAAAAACCATGTTAAATGTATATCTTTAAACACAAATTAAATAACTTTTACTTACAGTGTTGAACCTGTAGTAGATCAGATGCTTCAGATCCTTGCACATGCGGATTTGTCTCATCAGCTTGTACTTGTAGCGGTACATTCCGGTCAGTTGTCCAACATGAGCAAAGATGTACTGTAGCCCATCAGCCAACTAAAACAAAGATTTGTGATTTCACAAGTATTGAAATAAATAAACTATGCATTGGATGCAATGAAGGCATACTTGAAAGGCATCAACGTTGCCCAGGCGATACTGCACATGGCTATCAACGACCAGTTTGCTCAGACGCAAAACCTCTCTGCAAAGGTGGAAAGCGTTGCCAAATCTGGATTTCTTACGTTCCTGTGGAGAGGGAGTGCATAGGATCAGCCAAATGCAAATCATTTAAAAAGCCCATAAGTGAGTTACTGCACACTTATACACAAGTGTGGTTGTAGATCATGACATACTGACAGAAGCAATGATCTTTATAGGACCCATTGAGATGTATACCTTTGTTGTGAGCGTCTTTACAGGTTTTAAGTTGAAGTTGTAGTCAAGATGCAGATAGTTCAGGTTTTTACGATGGATCAGCAAGTTGAGCATATTATACCCCTGTCGGCAAACCTGAAGCCCAACCTCCACCCAATCGAGTTTGGTCGACTGAAAGAACTTTGTGGCCTTAAATGACCGGAACAGGTACCTTTAACGAAAAGATTATACATGTTAATTTTGCAATAGGCAAGAATCTTATCATTTTGATATTTAGACAGTTACCTCTTTTTTTGGGCTTTTGGAGGCCTGTGTTTCAAAGCATTGAGCACATAGTACTTCAGAAGTTTTTGGTAGGACACACGCACTTTCACAGGTTGTCCGGCAGGGCAGTGCTCACGATACCTATTAAACAATTGCACAGAGAAAATAAACTAAACATAAATATGTACAGTCCAACATGTACTGACATTTCTTCACTGAATTCTTACCAGTTTTTTATCAAGGGGATGTCAATTGCTCGCCTGGTGCGGCCTGATCTTAGGTTGAAGGGTCTGGGCCCCCAAAGCAAAGCAATGCCATTAGCTGTGTTGTCTGTGTAGAGAGGAGTTTCTTTGAGGAAAGGTTCAACAAACTCTGGAAGTTCAAACTCCTCATCATCATCTGGCAGTGGTTCTTGAACCTAGAGGAAAATATGACAATGAATTGTCAGACAATCAAAAAAGGCAAGTGCCCTTTTCAAGCAACTTACTTTGATAGAATGTCTGTGAGAAATCGGATTGATCAAAGGATCAAAGTAGAACGCTGGAAGATCAGGATCCTCAGTCTTGATGAACACAACATTGGGTGTATGGTACCTACAAAATAAACATTTCTGTTTAAGCGTCTAGTTTTTTTAAGTTAGAGTGGTTAAGTTGTGACATTGTAATTACCAAGTGAGGTGAACATGATGCGGAAGGTTGTTATACAAGTAGGGAAACGCAATTTTGTATTCTGTCCTGATAGGCTGGCGGATAATGATCTTGTTGATGTCATTGAATTCATTCCAGTCTTCATCTCTGAATGAATAAAAGAGTAAAACCATAGTTACACAACATGAAATTAAACAAAGAAATATTAAGAGCAGATAAAAATGGTCTCACTGGAGATTCAAGTCTCGAACTAAGGGCTCAAACTTTGGTCCTCCAGGGATGGCCATGTTCAATGCCTTTGAAGTGAAGAAGGCCTTTAGGTCAAAAAGGTAAAAGTAATTGAGGTCGACGAGGTCTGTGAGAAGCTGGTTTGCCAAGCGGTACAAAGTAGACATCATGGGGAGAGTGAACTGCCAGCGGCGGTATGTTGTGCCATTCACAAACCTGCAATTAAGAGTAAGATTAGTTTAATCAGAAATACAAAAAGTTACAACAGTGGTACTCAAAGTCTCATGCCCCATCAGGACATCAGCTGGTGATGATTGCATGATACAATGTAAAATAGTCATAAAACATTCAGATAAAACATGACACCAGTACTAATGGATTCATCATGTTTTGACACTTGAAAATATGTGGGGTTTATCTCTCTGAACACAATTTGATGTGAAATGTTTGAGTTTTGCATATTTATGAAACACACTTTGTAGTATCTTTGAGAGGCTGGTGTTCGTAAAACCACTCCACAACTGAAGAGTCTTCCTCAGTATCCAGCTCCATTTGAATGGCTTCCAGAGGCTCCACATCAAGGATGTTGTCAGCATAGTCCAGTGGAGGCTCTTCATCATCAAAAGGTGGAAAACGCATTCTTTTGAAGTGCCGCCTGTCACGCTTTTCACGACGCATCATAATCCACATAGTGCTGGAGAGAACATTTAAAATGAGATGAAACAAGCATAATGTAGGGACAAGTAAGAGTTAAGAGCAGAGCCTCATCTTACCCCCATTGTGCAATGTAGACTGGTTCAATAACCCAAGGAATCTCATTGACAAAAGAAATTGCTCCAGTGATGTGGTACAGGACTGGCACATCTCGAATCTGCTCCCATGGCATTGGCATGTTTTCCAATAGTTTCAGCACTGCATGGGGCATGTATTTGAGAGCCCTGTTAAAAAAATAAAGAAATACAGATTGTTATGTTAAACAAAGCACCTCTGCAATGAAGGCAGAATCTCAAAATGGCCATAAATGTAATTAATTCCTGGTAAACTGTGTATATACACATAAATAAAATTGTTTTACCCAAGATAAACTCTCTTATCATGACGAAATTTTCGATTGGTCATGTCTCCATGGTCCCTGATGATCTTGCGTACATGCTCAGGGGGCATGTCTTCCTTTTGAGCATCTACGAAGCCAAACTTTCTTTTTTCTGCATAGCGTTTTGCTTGCAGTTGCTGCCATTTACGTGCTGTGGGAGCAAGATTATGGTTAATAATATTTTTCCAATAAATACCATCAGTGGTATAATACGGTAGTAGCATACCCTTTTCTTGTAATTTTTCTTCTGTCATGTATTCTGTTACAGGTGTAGGAGGGGGAACCCCTGGAGGCATTCCCGGAGGTAAGCCCCGATAAGGGAAAGCCATGACGACTCACTGAAAAACAAAATAAAATACATCAATCATACTTGAATTAATATGGTGAAACGACGACAATGTATTAAATTAACGCTAAATGTTGAGCTGCAACCTAGCTGCGCTTTAGGTGCGACCGTAAATAGGCCAAAGTAATTGTCCACAATCGCAAGTTTGCAATTCTTATTTACACTTTCAAGAACATTTCTGCTTAGGTACACGCAAGAGAGCGTGTGCACATGTAAACAGATAACATTTACATTTCTTGAGTAACTCGGCTGATTGGCCAAAAATAACGAAAGTGTGCCGCAAGGGGCATTGTTAGCTAACTAGCTAAATGCTACATTAGCCCCCGATGAAAGACTGCGGAAGAAAAGTGGAAGAATGCTAATGCAGAAATCACTAACCGTCAGAGCCCAGAGTAATTCACACAAACGACTATTGCGGATCAGGCCACACTACATTCCGTTTGATAATGAATAGAGTTTGTACCGTTCTGCCGCACTTTGTTTCTAAGTTCTCCACGCAACACCAACGACTGTTACCACACGGTGCGAGCGCTAGAACTTCAGCGCTATTCACGAAACCATGCGTAACAAAACCAGGTCGATGAGACGTTACGCACTCTGCGTAAAGAATTTGCGCAAACTCGGAAACGTGCCCTTTGGAAAAGCCCGGATGATGTTGTATTTCCGGTGGCAAAATGCACCGCGCCCCCAGCGGACGCTCAATACATTTCAACAGCTCACCGGGGTGAAGATATTTACAGTTTATAAGTGAGCCCCATTTTTGACAGTCCACTGTTCTGAGTGGGGAATATGGTTGCTCATCATCACTCTATGTGAATTATCTGTAGTTATCCACAATTACTTTGAAATTGCATCGCCGCCGGAAGGGTCTGCAGAAGGCTGGACTTTTCCCACGGGTCCATTGAAGAGTAGCTACAGGTCTCGCACTTCTCAGACTAGTTCCGAAATATTGGACCTACAGTCTGTAATAAAGTCTAACTGATTAAATTGATTAGTTGCCATCAACTGTTAAAGAGAATCCGCAGAAAATGGCAACTGATCAAGACGTTCATGAAAATGTCAAGGTAGGTTTTGTTTAAAAAAAACTTATGCTTTTGTCGTGCACAAAAAATGTGCGAAATAGTTTACATGTCATGCATTATAATACATGATACAATAACCTAATGACTTGATACAAAACAAATAACCAACCTTCATTATGTTGATTGGGGTTGCAGAAATACTATGGCAGTCAGTTGGGATCATCTTGTGATTTGCAAACTAGTGCTGCCACATGCAATAAGTCCTCCTCCATGCCACAGAATGTCAGAGGGGCTCTCAGTCTTGTTCATCCAGAGGTGATCGAAAAGTATGTTTTTTTAATGTATTCAATCCACCATAGTAAATGTTAAATCAATATTATGTAATTATTAAATACTAACTGAATTATCTAAAAGAATGTGAAATTGCAGGTTTTTTGGTTGTGGACTCCCGTTTCCTGCTAAGCTGCAGGGATGCAAAGTCTTGGACCTTGGCAGTGGTTCTGGCAGAGATTGTTTTGCCTTTAGTAAACTTGTTGGCCCAAATGGACATGTCACTGGGATTGACATGACAGAAGAAATGGTAAGAGCAGAATAAAACAAATCCAAAAAGACACATCAGACACTCAATCCTTTGTTTTTTTTTTGTTTTTTTTCAGATCACTGTGTCACAACAGTATGTCAAATACCATCAGGACAAGTTTGGTTATTGTAAACCTAATGTCACTTTTATTCATGGCTACATGGAAAAACTAAGAGAAAGTGGTTTACAGAATGATTCGTTTGATGTTGTTTTGTAAGCTCAAACACTCTCACATTATATTAGTCTGGTGTGAAGTAGAATATTGTAATGTACTGTATGTTTGTATTCATCGGTGCAGGTCTAACTGTGTAATATGCCTATGTCCTGATAAATGGTCTGTGTTGAGCGAAGCATACAATGTGTTAAAGGTTTCTGCTTTTCGATCTTTTTCCTAATTAAATATAATAATGTAAATGATTGGAATTCATTTTAGTTTGTATTCTTCACAGGAAGGAGGTGAGCTGTACTTTAGTGACTTGTATGCCAGTAAACCTGTTCCAGATGACATGAAGCAAGATGCAGTTCTTTGGGGTAAAGGATAAATATAGTCCAATAGATACATTTTCCTCACCATGATGTAACAAAAAAGGTATTATTACATTCTTGTCTTTTTAAGGTGAAGGAATGGCAGGTGCTCTCTATTGGCAAGACTTTGTTTCTTTGGCTCTTAAGGTGGGGTTTAGTGCACCCTACTTGGTGTCTGCCAGCAATATTATAGTATACAATGATGAGCTCAAAGCCAAAACAGGTACATTGTTTTGAATTCTCACACATTCTAATAAAAGTAACCACTCCTCCCTATTTTGCAGGCGACATTCAGTATGCTTCAGCAACCTACAGGCTTTTTAAGCTGCCAAAATCTCCACTTTGTGCCGGAGCTGAAGTGACATACAAAGGCACTATTGAAGAGTTTCAGGACGAGCTTAACTTTGATTCTTCCCACAGTTTTAAGGTATTGTGATTATTGAGTGTGGTATATGTGATTTATTTCAGAGTTGTAATAGTTCTTATTGTGTGGCTTCACAATTGACTTGTAAAGCAGTAGTTTAAAATGAGTTGGAGACAGGTTGTAAATCTATGTGTGTAGTGAAGATTTATTGATCTGGTTTATGGCTATTCATGTGATTAGAATTAACCCAACCCATGAAACTAGAGCTTGACTAAAGTTCACTTTCTGTTTTTATTAATTCATTTGTATATTCATTGGGTGTAGCATGCTGAGGTGATCTATATAGAAATGCAATGTACTGAGTGATCCATCTAAAATTACTTTTATAACATGCAGAAAACTGTCCCAAACAAAGTCAAGGGAGAGATGGCACTGATTCTGCAGACTTCTCGCTTCTCTCCTGATTTCAATATTGAGATTCTGGATACTCCCAGCACCTGCTCAGGGTCATCACAACAGGTATGAGATCATATTCTCTTTCATGTATTAGACCGATTCTTGTTACCACAAGTATCTGTAACAAAACTTGAATTGTGAATTGTTTATTTTTCTTGTGATTGTTTTCTAGCTCTGTCATCTGAGTCCTTTCCTGTTGGCTGATAAACTGGGATCTGCTGTGAGACAATGCTCCAAAACTGGCAAATAAATAGTAAACCCATTTCTGCCACAGATTGTATATTCTGTGCACAAATGAACCTTTGCATTGTAAGAAATAGCATTATGAAATTTTCCCAGTATGTAATATGTAACACCTAAGAATGTGCAATACAAATTATAATGATTATTAGTTTATATTTTTATTATACATTTAAAATATATAATAGGGACAGGACAGCACCTGAAAATGTCATGACATTGTCTCATGAAACAGCATTTCGCACAGAAGTGCACATGTAATATACCTGCAGTATATTTGTAAGTTCTTTCAGAAAAACAAGGCATCTAAATATTTCAAATAGAAGGCAGTACAGAATCTGAACCATTTATTTGAACCAGAAAGTGAGGGAGAAAACACACCGTCCTATCTTGTTTCTTGTCTGTGGATTTGGTGGGATTTACATCTGCAGCCAGCTCAGGTCCTCTGCACTAAAACACACAAACACAAATAGTAACTAGCACAATATTGATATGAATAGATGTAAATGATAACTTTGATCATTGTGAGGCACTTACAGAGCTTGTGTTTTCGTTATGCATTGTCCCAAAGCCATCATTTCTGCCAGACGAGCCACAGCAGGATCAAACATAAGACTGGCTGCTGCTACCACCACATCGTCCCTATCAATGAAAGTTATGAATCAAGTCTAAAAGGGCATTTTGTGTGTGTGAAAACTCACTTAATGTAAAAGGCCAAGAACTTTCTCTCCTCCACTGTGCCTTTGAATATTATTTCTGCGTAGCCTTCATTATAACCTACGATGAACAGAAGAGTTTGGACTTAGGTCTGGTTTGCTTTAAATGGACCAATTCTGGTTCACTTGTGGCAAAAAAGTCTGTATTTCTGAATGTAAAACTACAAAACCAGTGTCCACTAGTCACTTAAGTCAGGTCACATCTTTTGAAACAGATCTGTGACAATTTTTTTCCCCAAGTGAACCAGACCAACAATGGTGAACATTTTCGGTCTTTGAAAAAATGTTGAAATTGACTTTGATAATATTAAAGTACAAATGTAACTCTACCTGTGTATCTGATTGATTTTCCAAGTAGAACTGTCCAGAAGAAAGGAACAGACTTGTTCTCATTGGGCTTCTTTAGCATGCTCAGGGCAGCTGTTCTCCCTGTAACGAAACATATTGAAGCAGTGCTATAAAACCAAAAATGTCCAAATAAAAACGTATGGACTGCACCAGTCTCCTACCATGAGCATGTGACATTTGCCAGTGGCCAATGCTGACCATTTGGTCACTTCGAATGGTTAGCGGAAAGGCAGTCACATCCCCAGCACTGAAAACATCTGGGACATTGGTCATCATGAACTGTAGAAGAAAATATCCTAGAATTATTAACATTTCAGTGTATTATTACTCATAAGATATTGAACTAAAATGGCAAAAAAGCTATATATATATATATATATATATATATTAGTAGTCCATGAATTGCATCAATACTCATAGCATGCTTACTTTATTAACAATAACAGCTTTCCTTGAGTCTATTTCAACACCACTTCTTTGCAAAAAGTCTGAGTTGGGAATCACACCTGAAATGACATGCGTTCCTTATATTAAATATTTTATAAATGTTTCATAAAAGTGTTATTTTATGAACAAACCTTACCTATTCCCACAATCACTACATCTGCTTCCAAGACTTGACCATCCTTCAACACCACTTCTTTCACCTGAGACGACAACACAAAGATAAATTGCTCTATGCTATGGTCCAGTTACTTTAACACTAGAACTCCCGTAGCAGTCAATTTGACGGATTTTTGTTTTGGGAGTGTAATTACTCTGTTTATATAAGTCATTGGTTCTTCATTGGTTTACCTCAATGTAATCATATTTATGAAATGCTCTCGATCCTGGACTGGTTCAGAGCAATCTCAGCTTGGGACAAGAGCTGGTCACCATAGCAACACCATGTTTACTTGCAGCAGTTAACAGTTAGCTTTTGCTGTATTTCATTGATATTAATCAGCATTTGTATGTATTAAAGATGTCATTTTTTTCAGGATTCCGTTAATTCAAATGGGAGCCGTCAAAATGACTGCTCTGGGAGTCCTAGTAGTTTTAGAATTCTGGAAGTCCTAGGGTTAAAGCAACCTAAATATCAGGTAAAACTGGTTGTTACCCGGCCATTGTTTCCTCTGATTTCAGAAACTCCACTTTTCATGTAGAACTTGACGCCATTCTCCTTCAACATCTAGAAAAATACAATTATTTTAAGGAAATAGGAATACTCTGTTAATGGTGATGTTTTTTCAATTCACTCTCACGCTCATCGTCATTTGTCCAATTTCAGGGCCAAGAGAGCGTTCATATGGATAGGCTGATGTGCCAATCACTGATACACTAGCAGCTTTGTCTGACAAGTATGACGCTGCCTCCATTCCTAAAGGATTTATAAAAATACATCACACTACTTATCACACATCTTCAACGAAGGATAAGAGTCACCTATGAAAGATGTTCCAACCACAACTGCCTTTTGACCCACTGACAAAGCGTGGATTTCTTTTGCATCTTCGTAACTCTGTAACATCTTCACTCCTTCCAAATTCCACCCAGAACAGCTGAGCGGACGGGCTCTGTTTGAAGGGAAATGTGACTATTGTGCTTTACTTGAGTGTTTGGCCTCAAGTAAAGCACAATAGATCAATTCTAACCTACAGCCAGTTGCAATAAGAAGCTTGTTGTATTTCTGCATGATGCCGTCACTCAGTTCCACCACCTTGTTGTCCGTGTTCACAGATACTACCTGTAAAAACATACTGATTTTAATCATTTATTTAATTCCAATACAATATATATGATGGAGAAAAGCTTTTTACCTCCTTTTGGGTCCACAAATCAATGCCAATCTTGTTAAAAAAGTCAGAGGACCTTAGGAGAATGTTACTGCTGTCTACATCCATAGCCTATACAAAGGAGAATATAATTATTCCGGCCCTTCAATTACTATCAATAACTTGCAGAATTGGTTGTTATGTGTTTTCCAAGCCATGTTTAACATTATCTATTTTCTCAGGAAAACAATCACATTTGTTTTATTCTAAAATGTTAACCCAACACATTATTAGAATGAATATAAAACACATTTTATATATATATAATATATATATATATATATATATATATATATATATATATATATATATATATTTGATCTAGTTTTGGTTCAATCTGAACAATAAACATATATAGTTCTAAGAAATACCATCATAATGTAAAAAACAATTATAAGAAAAGGAAATTCCTTCTTTCATTTCAGCCCCAGACCAGGGCCTTGTATTTTATTTGGCCCCTGACCAAAACGAGTTTACACCCCTGGTTTAATGCAAGAGCAAAAATAATTAATTACCTTACTCAGTTTTGGCTTATCAAAAGGAGGCAAACTGTCTTTGGTTATCATAACAATGCGGCCATTGTAGTTGTTCTGACGCAGTGTTTCAGCACAAACCAAGGAAGCAGGGCCTGCAAACAAGTGTCAGATCTAAGCATTTCATATGAGGCTTAAATATAATGAAACAGTAAAAACTAGAAGGCAAAAGTAACTCACCTCCTCCAATTAAAACAATGGTCTCCTTGAAATCTTGAGTCACACTACACATTTCCTTCACTCTCTTAGTTTGAATCATTGACTGGAGGGAAATTAGCATATTGATTGAAGATACAGTTCAAACAATATAATATAATTATTGAAATCAAAAAGGAATAGGCAGTGATTATTTGAGCCTTTCCTATTCCGTGACATTGGTTTAACCAGTGTTATATGAATGAATGAATGTTTATTATTGGTCAGTTGTTTGATTAATAACATATCACATTAAAAACAAATCACATTCACTGACTATATTACAACCAAAATGGGCTGAAGCAACTTTCTTATCTGTATATATCTTGAATCATACCGTATTCAACACCACACATACAAACAGTTGTGTGGTGTTATATACACACTTTTTACACACAATGTTTGAAACTTAAGAAGTTTTAAATTGTAAAAACACGTACAGAAGAAGTTTGCAATATTAAAATCGATAAAAAAATATGAAAAGTTGAAACTTACTTTTCTGTTGATAGTTACATACACATTTCCACCCTTCACTGTGACCTGCAGATATTTGTAAATGTTACTACTAATGTTTTTAACTGAATTTGTCACTGTTTAATTATACCTTGTAACATGGGAGGGAGTCGAGTCCTGGGAAGTCCTCAATATCCCCAGTTTTAACATTGAAACAAGCTCCATGAAAAGGACATCGCACCCTGTTCCCCATCAGCACTCCTGAAACAGAACCTCATGTCAGTGCTGTACTGGGTGTAAACAGATCCAGAGAAGAGTTGATTACCTTTAATCAAAGGAGCTCCATAATGGGAACATTTGTTTCCAATCGCAGTGTACTGGCCCTCCGTTCGTACAAGCAACACTGTGGCATCGCCCACTTCCACAGCTCTCATCCTTTTAGGGAAAGAAATGGCAGGGCTAAGTGCATTCAATTGGTCCATAATCATTAAGTTGAAATGTAGTCCTAATCACATGAAATATTAAATTGAAACATTGTTCATGGAAGACAGCTATGTCTGGAGTGGTGAGATAAAAACATACTCTCCATCTTTAAGATCATCTCCTTGGCACACCAAGTTTGTCAGCTCGTCCTCTGGATTATCATCTGGTCCTGGTTTGGAGCACGCGTCCATGGTTATAGATGACTTAGCAAAATGTCTGTAAAGTAGTAAGACTGTAAATACAACTAGTTCAACCTGGCCACTCCCATGGTGCCATTATTTCCACTGAATGGCTAAATACTAATATATACAAAAGTTAACAAAAACATGAGTTGAATTAACATTTACTTAACTTTTTACAGCTATACAAATATTCTGGCATCTCAAGAGTATGGTTAACTACAGGCGCACTAACATCCAAGGCAAGTTTGTTTGTAGCGCAACATTTATGCACAGAATAACTCGAACTGGAAGTGCTTTACAAAACAAGAAAGCACATGCAACATTCAAATCATAAAACTAGTAAAAGCATAACCACAGTACATCCAACCATTTAAAATAATACACAGCTAGAACTGTTAAAACCAGGATTTGGACATTCTCAGAGCAGTAAAAATATGAAACACTTATGTATAGTAGAGACTCTCAGCACCGGCAATATTGTTTTCTTCAATAAATTAGATTGACATATGTTCTTACCCGCTTTGTTGGTGTGGCTGTAGCAGATAGAGCTAACCACACACACTGATCGTCGCACACTGTGGATATAAAGATGTGGGGCCCTTCAGGACGTGACAGCCGCGTGAGGCTGAGGCATGTAATCTGCGCATGCGCTTCTCCTGTAACAGACATAATTCTTTTACCATCGACCATACACAACCATAACCACGCATTAGCACCGCAGTGACCTTACGGAAAACATTGTTAGGCATGGTGGAAGAATGCTGGCTTTATATTGTGGTGTATCGCTGTATAGTAAAGGCATTATAGTAGAAGTAATTCAGTATGGCTAACTGCCAAACAACGGTATGATGACTGTGGTAGTGTACAGCTCTCACCACCAGATGGCGCCATTACCATGTTACAACCATGGATTTCAGATTACAAAAGCTTGAAAAGCCATTCACCTTTTTTGCCATTACTCAACGGGACGACCTCCCCAGTTATCACCGCCATTTTAGCTACATTACCTAACTTTATTTAATTACCTGCCAGAAACAGAATTTTTAACATTTCCTGACATGTTTTTAGCTTTTATTGTTAGCCCTTTATCTCATAACATTTCAGCGCCCACCATCTTGTCTGTTTTAAAACCTCTGGCATCTAAAGTGTTAATCAATGACAGCTGTACTCACCAGCATTAGAAATATGAAGATCAAATGAGCAAAAATGTGTTATTAGGCAACCAAATTGTGCACTAAACAAATTGGCCTCCTTATTGTCAGCGCACGCCCCCTTTATTTCCGACTGCACGTGAAAGCCTCATGATCCGGGTTTAGGACCACGCCCATCGTAGTAGGATATGGAGGGATGATCTATCAGGGCGGGGGGACTGTGTTTGGTTTGTGATCACGTCCAGAAGTTACACAAGGCTCCAGAGCTTGAGTTTTACAACAGGGCAATTTCACAAGCGCGGATGAGTCTCCACGCCCTACCGATCGCCTCGACCCGTGGAGCGCTACTATATTGAGGGATACTGAAGCGCTGCAGATTGGCCCTAAAACAAATGTTGAGGCATTTTGTGTTTTTATGAACACATTTTCTGTCAGGTGTCAAACAGTGAAAGAGGCTGCTTTTTCGCGCGCTGTCTCAAACATTGTGCATTGTGAGATGGTTATTTCTTAATTCTGACTGACGCTCGCCTCAAACGAAAATCCAGCGTGACGTCTGGTTTATAATCGTGTTTTTATTTTGGTTTTTTTTGCGCGCACTGATATCCCCCCTGGAGTCGGAAAATTTTCTGGCACACGACCCTTTTTTAGCTAGCCATGGAGTTAAGTTCGGTGGTTTTGACAACCGGGGGATCTGTGGTATTTTTTAGGCTTGTGAACGCCGCGATCGGTAAACTTCCCAAGCCCGAATCTGCCCATAGAAATGCCTGGAAGTGGAGAAACATCGCGACTTCCTTTGTGCACAGTTTTGTCACAGCGATATGGGCAGTGCTTTGGTAAGAAACCTCAAATCACTATGTTGAGTAAATATGTATGCCCATGTGATATTTAATTATATTCCACTGTGTGTTTTCTAATTTATGACAATGTTTTGATCGTTATTGTTAATAATGAACATCACATCTGGAGTGATATGGTCATACATTTTGATCCATTTTCAGTTTTTTCCGTCAACCCCAGATGGCAGAGGATTTGATAGACACATTCTCAGTGTTTTCTCATGCACTGGTTTCCTTTTCAATCGGTGAGTGGTCATGATTTTTTTTTTTTTTTTTAAGCACTTAGGGATGTAATAACCCAATAAACATTCACCCGTGCCATTTACATAGACTCTCAACATTAAAAAGTGAACATTTATTTACTTTTTTCACTGCTAACTAATAATAATATAACTAATATATATAACAGGTCGTCTTTATGTCTACTAACAGGACGTCTCAATTAATTCAAAAATGTATATCGTTGCCAGTAAACAAATGCTCCCAGATAATTCTCAAGATGTTTGACATTCTTTAACTTCCCAGTTGCAAATGTGGCAGCGCGAGTATCTGTTGTTGGTATTTGATGCTCAATGGAGGTCTTTATTGGCGGTTCCAGGCACCGGGTGTCAACTCATTGACATGTGACATCACTGAGCTACAATTGTGCATCAAGTGGTTTATTCAGTGGCAGCTTCCGGTGCTACTTTGCATCTCCAGAAGTTACAAATGTACAATCAACTGCACACAAACCGTGTGTAAATACCTGAACACACGTTTCTATATAGTTTTTTTTTTTTAATGATAAATATGATTGTGTGGATTGTGGCTGTCAAAGCTCTGTTTTGTCATACAGTAGATGTTTCCCTTAAACACTATAATTAAGTTACAGCTTGAAGGAGTCTGCTGATGTAGTCAGCTTCATTCTTCTAAAATATCATTATGGTTTAATATATTGGAATGTTGTTGTCCAAACCCAGCTTGTTTGCCCAAAGTCCAGATGATTTACCATCAAACTACGTTCCCACTCTCACCTATGGTCATAAGCTCTAAGTAATGGCCGAAAGGACAAGATCACCAATACCAGCAGCCCACATGAGTTTCCTCTGCAGAGTGGCTGGACACTACCTGAGTGATGGGGTGAGGAGCTCAGTCACACAGGAAGAGCCCGTAGTAGAGCTGCTGCTTCTCAGTGTCGAGGGAAGCCAGTTGAGGTGGCTCGGGCATCGTGTTTTGGATTCCTCCCTGGAAGCCTTCCGGGGAGGTGTTCCGGGTTTATCCCATCGGGAGGAGACTGTGGAAGACCTAGGACACATTGGAGGGACTTTGTCTCCCAGGTGGCAATGGATAAAGCGGAAGAAAATGGGTGGATGGGCTCGATGGAAAATTGTTTATTCCCATGGATTCGCTGTGATTGGACGATCCAATTGAATAATAATTGCACAATTCTTTGTCACTTCCCATATTTACTCATAACTTATCCTTCACTTCGGGATATCATAATATGCATCTGCTGTTATCTCTCCTTCATTCAGTCTCATTTTTATAAAAAAAAAAATCACAATCCTATCATATTCAGCAAGATTAAAAACTGCATCATGTTTGTTCTTTCTCCAAAAGTCACTGAGAAATAACTAAGCCAAGGACAGACGGGGGCAACAGTGGCTTAGTTGGGAGAGCATTGGCCTTTGGGCCTGAAGGTTGTGGGTTCGAACCTACCTCCTGTGAACTCACCACCTGCAGGAGGATCAGTGAGGGGCTGGTGCTGTGTGAACCGGGTGCAGCTCTGACTGCTACCCCCTCGACCCAGAAATGGATTAAGGGGAAGAAAATGGATGGATGGAGGACTGACAGCATGTGCATGTTTCTTCACTTGTTTTCTCCCTCTCTGCTAAACAATGAGTATCAAATTCTAAATAAGAAAAAAATTGAATCAAGATTAGTTGATATGAAGAAAAAAACTACCCAACGATAGCAAGAAGTGGGTTGAGGGTTACATCGCTGATGGGTCAATAAACTCTTACATTTGAAACTTCTGCCTGTCGTTCCAGCTCTCTGGCAACAGATCACAAGCATGTTTGTTAATCATACCAGCTTCACAGTACAATATATTGTTGGATGATCACACCAACAACAACGACACAAGAGAAATTGTATGATCAGCCGACAAGATCAAAAGACGAGCCTTTTTTACAAAAATACATTTTTAATTGATGAGGTCAGTAATTTGGTGCATTTGTCCCTGATTTATATGCATTCCGAAACATGGGTAAAGATAATGCCCCAGTAAGTTCCTATGCACCCCTCGATTTCTGTCTTCTACACAAGCTATTCTGAAAAGTGGTCTCCATGGACACGGTGGAATGGTGGGGGGTGCATGATATGAATAGACCCTCTCAACACACATCTTGGAAGCTGCTGTGGTCGTCATGGAAGCAGGGTTCCCTTGGCACCCTTGATTTTCCTGAATGACCCCTTCTATTGCTACTCATGATTTGCAAGATTAATGTTTAGCTCTTCCTTTAATATTTGCTTTTTTCTGTCTCAGGTTATTTCATCTATGATTTCTTTGACATGGTGCTAAACCAGAAGATTGGTGCATCATGGGAGCTTCTCTTTCATCACACAGTGGTAGGTCCCATTGACAAAATACACTCAATATAAACTGATATGGTTCAAACTTGGTTTGTACACTTTTTAATGGACTTAGTGTTGGTGTTGCAACATGAAGTTGTAACACCAACAAGTATAGTATAGTAAAGCATAGTATCACACTGATAAACAACGCCTTCTCGCTCACTTTCTGTCTTTGTAAAATATGTAAAGTGTCCTCAAACCTTTGGAACCAAGCCTCAACCTCTGCCAAGTGCATTCGTGTCAAAGGCATCCACATAAAGACAACTACCAGTCTTTCTAGACTGGGCGGATAGAAAAAGAATGGGAGGAGTAACAAAGGCCATAATTCTACCATGACAACCATGAACCCTTTGATTCACCCAGAGTATCTCCTTATCACTAGAAATAATTCATAAACAGAGTTGGGGGGTAGCATACTTTATTTTCAAAGATTAAATGTTTTGCTTTATAACTGCAGCAAAAGCAGAGTATTAGCCTTTTATCCACAGAATGTCTAATAGCTATATGTGAGACTGTGCAAAATTCCAAAGATTTTGATAGCAATTTTCACAATTTTCTCGATAGTAACGAGAAGCAAAAATGTTACCCTTACTTTTAAAGAAGTGAGACAAAGCAACAGGCTTTACCTCTCTTTACTCATGTCCTTTTCAGTAGAGTTCTAATATTATACAACGTTTACAAGTCTCCTGCACACGGAACAGTCAGTGGATAAAATCACAGCAGGGGAGATACAACTATACTTATTTGGCATCAGCCATTTCAACATTTATCAATATTATGTGTTTGAATTGTCTCTACAAAAAAAGCCCAGTGTAGCTACAGTATAAGTGCAATAAATATTGACATTGACTATTGTTAGAATATTATATATTCTACATAAAGGAGCAAATGAAGTGTATCTCAAAGTATGTCGTTCTAGTGATCTAGTGACTTATGATCCAATAAAATATCTTTGTTGTGGTAACAAGACAAAATGTGTTTATGGGCTGTGAAGTCCTTTTCAAGACACTGTAGTTGTTGATTGAAATAAAATGTAAATAAATCGTCACAGCTCTCGTCCAGACCCACACAAGAGGTTTGAGCTTGTGTACCGTCACATTGCAGTGACAAGTCAATCTTTTTTACAGTTTTGGCATCAGTTTGAGTTTCTGAACAAAAACCATGGTGTGGTCACAAAAACGTACAGCATAATGTGTGTACATAGTGTAGTTTCTCTGGAATGACCTACATTTATACATGCTGGTGCTCTGTTGCCAGGCCAACCAGATTGTATTGTAATTAGCTCCTTGGTTACTTATGTAGCCTATATTTAGTTGTTTTATTATCAATGTGAGCAAATTCATTATAATAATCAATTATTCAGATAAAACAAACTATGTTCAAGTTTGACTCTGCTAAACATGTATCATGCATCAGGCCTTTTGTTATCATTCACTTTGAAAAAGGAACATTATATTAATGTGTAATGTTCATTTTGAAGTAAAAGGATGCGGAGTGGGAACAAGCCATACATACAACTGAGCTGGTTTAAATTGTGAAAACTGTGGGAAAAAAATGTGTAAAATAAAGAATTCACCAATAAAAAAAGTTAAACTCAATACTTTTTAATGTAGCCATTGTTGGCCCTGACAGAGGTACGTCTTCACCAGGTTCCCACACACTATTGCTGGTATTTTGACCCATTCTTCCATGCAGAAATTTTCTAGACCAAATGTTTGCCACTCCTTTGTTGCCTGAATGGTCATGGCTGGGTCTTCTATCAGACAATGATCCAAATCATACCGCCCTGGCAACGAAGGAGTGGCTTCGTAATACGTTTTTCAAGGTCCTGGAGTGGCCTAGCCGGTCTCCAGACTTCCACCCAAAAGGACATTTGTGGAGGGTGTTAAATGTCTGTTGCCTTGTGACAGGCCCAAAACGTTACAGCTGTAGTGAAGATTTGCATGGAAGAATTGGTCAAAATACCAGGCGTGTGGGAATCTGGTGAAGACCTATGGGAAATGTTTGACCTCTGTCAAGTGGCTGCAATTAAATGCAATACGACTTTGATAGTAAAAGTTAAACATCCATGTCATACTGGGATAATATCAGTCAGTAAATGGTCTTATTACATTCATTGAAAGACTCAAACAAGATCTCCTGCAAAAATATCTATATGTATATTTAGTAAGAATTAACTATGATATTTATGCATTCCTTTAAATTGTGAACTCAACAATGCACAACATAATACCATTACATTGTGGTCACGTCACACAAATAAGTACTTTTAGGTGTGCAAATGTTTGCACCAAAAATACAGAGGGTCCCCTATTGTCCCTTATGACTGAATGTCAAAGTATATCAGCCTTAATCATCAGAAAATAAGGGCTGCACCTGTGATGAAGTCAGTCTTAAAGCATACTTCAATGTGTTGTAAATCCTGTTTGTCTAGTGGGTTCTATGCGCCTCTAGTCGTTTTGACATCAGTTAAGTCCTGCTCAACAGGAGTTTGGTACAGAACGTACTCTTTGTGCATTGTAATAAATGTATACCTGAAATTCAAGTGCATTGTTTTTTATTTTTTTTATAATGTAATGGCAATTAGATAGAACCTATTACCAAATATTTGAACATGAGTAAAATGGCAGGTATTGCACCTTCTTCATTGTGAAAAATGTTAGTACATCCACAATATCCCTTCTTAAATCTTCATCAGCGCCATAATAACTACTTGGTCTTTCATTTCACTTTTTTTCTCTTGGTCCCATTATTTCCCTGATCTTCATGATTTCATTTGTTATAAACGATTATGATGAGAAAGAATATCCTTTTGACTAATGATGAATGGGAAGACATTGGGCCTCATTCACGAACCGTACTTAAGATCAAATTTGTGCGTAAATCCTACTTACGAAGATTTTACGAAGATTGTGGCATTCATGAAATTTTTTCGTAACCAGAATTTCTCTTGGGTAAGTACAAATCCTACGAATGCTCAGGAGCACTTGTACGCACATTCAGTGTCGACAGGTTTGCACGCTGGTGTTATTATATATTAATTGTTAATGGTAATTTAGCCTATTTTTTTATTGATTTTGAAATGAAATGTGCCAACACTTTATCAAATACATTGGAAATCTTGCCGTGTATTAGTGACCTCATCCTATTTATAGGGGGCATTTCTTTATCCACGGGCCACAGAACAATAGCACTCAGGTCCGCGCTGAGTCTCTGCGCTGGTGTCTCCCATGGATCTATACAATACAATACAATACAATTTATTCTTGTACAGCCCTTGGTCACAACAGAAGTCATCTCAGAGGACTTAACAAAACCTTTGAAATCACCAACACCAGAGAAGTCTGGTCTATGCGGTCTCTCTTTGGTCTACGCTGGTCTGCGCACCGGTCTTTCCAGTCACGTCTCTTCAGTCCACGGTCTCTCCTCGGTCCACGCTGGTCTCTGCGCACCGGTCTCTCCAGTCAGGTCTATGCGGTCTCTCCTAGGTCCGCGCTGGTTTCTGTGTGCTGGTCACTCCAGTCTCTCCTCGGGTCTGCAGTGGTCTCAGCGCTGGTCCGCGCTGGATCTCCTCCCCGGGTCCGAAATATTTTGAGATTAATCTCAAAACATTTTGAGATTAATTTTTAAATTAATACATAATATATTTTTAAATGAAGCTCATAACATTTTTAGATTAATCTCATCATATTTTTAGATTAATCTCATTTTGCTTGTTCAACTTTATTCTCATAATATTTCGACTTTTAAGTCAACATTTTATTACTTTATTCTCAGTCTGGCAAAAGAAGAAAAAAGGGTGACTCTTTTGCTCCGTGTAACTCTTTGCTTTAGGCCTGTTGCTGTTTCCTCTGCCGTCTGCACACGGCCCTGCAGTCCCTTTTATGGGCATTAGTGGGCGGTTACCTATGCTAAGTACCTATGCTAATGAAGCACCGGGCACGCGCGCTGTACTTACGAGGAGTTGGCATTCATCAATCTGAGAGAACAGCTGCAAACAATTCAGCGCCTTACGAGCGCGTTGATGAATCCCACGTTGGGTCTTCTTAGAAATCTACTTAAGAACGACTTGAGAAGAAATTTAAGAAGTTTCTTACAAAGTTATTCGTGAATGAGGCCCATTGATCTCAATTTACACAAGACATTAAATTAGCCTTTAGTGTGTTTTTGTACGTTTCACATACACACATGGAAACATGCAGCACCATGCAGTTTTGCAAGAATGGAAGAGCAGAAGATTGTTGTGTTGATTTGACCGTGACGTCACACTCTGAAACTGGAATGTCTTGCTTCTACACTCCTTGAAAACTTGATTATCCAGTACATCTTCTTCTTTCCAGTGTTTTCTTTATAGTTGAAAATGGAAAACACCTCATGCCACAAAGATTCATAAAACTTCAATATGATGTTTGCCTAGAACCAGTGTATGACGAATGCGATGTTTGTGCAAAGTTGCTTGAAGTTCTCTTGATGTTTTTTTCCTTATGACAGCTTCCCTCAGTGTTGTGTTCTTATATAGTTGATCTGTATTTAAGGCATACAAAGATGTTATTGTTCATACTTAAAACAGCCACACCTATTAACTCACCTCAAGATCTGCTGTGTGTACATCAGCCATATGTGTATACACCATAGTTTGACTTGTAAATCATCACATTTTTATGATTGAGGAGGAGGACTGACTATGATTGTTAGTCAGTCATCAAACTTTATGACAGACTTGTGGTCCAGAATTTATAGCTAAAACAACAAAAATGTCATCAAAATCCAAGAGGTTATTAGCACTGTACTACCAAAAACATGCAACATACATACTCACACACAATATAGACTTTTCTCCATAGCAAACATCAAATACTGCCCTTTTCACTGCCCCATATCCACTCACATCAAGCACAGAAATGTTTGTGAAAATACAGCTGTCATATGTTTAGTCTTCAGAGTCCTCTTTTTGGGTAATTTATTGTAACCAGATAGTTTTTATCACACAAGTGTTGCTATGCTGATGTCAGCTGACGGGAGTAAACACTAGGTGCATGATATCAATCATGGCTTCCCTCCTTCTGCAGATAAGTGTGTTATGCGTGGGTTTGGTTCGACTTTGGACTTGCTCTCGATGTTTGTCATGTAGCTAGGGTGCTCTCTATATATAGATATATAATTCACGTTTAACTGCCTGTCCTACCATCACCCTCTTGATACCAACCAGGCTGCTCATAATCATGCATCCTTGTTGTGCCGCTGCAAGAGAAAATTGATTTCTGAGTTATGTCCAAATCTTTCTCAAATATTTATAACTTTATATTTTATCTACTGTAAATTGTTCTGACATTCAGTGTGTTTGAGGCTCTATTTTCCATAAGGGGAAAGGGGAAGTGCAGTTGTGCACATTTCTGGAGTGCCTGTAGCTGTGGGCTGTGGGCAGTGGCATGCCTGTGTCTACAGAGTTTGCCATCATTCTGTTCGGGAATGTGCCAATCCATAAACAAGATTACTTTAATTGTTTTATCAAAATATATTTCATAGATCAACAACCGTTTTTGAAAACCTTTGTTTTGATTGGCAGGGCTGACTCAATATTATTAAAAACGTATTTTGTCATTGCTGTTCAATCCAAACACAGGCGTCTGCATCTACAGCTGTAAACATCTGAAGGTTTATAAAATAGTATACTGTAATCACCAGTAATCACCAGGGGCGACAGTAGCTCAGTTGGTAGAGCATTGGCCTTCGGGCCTGAAGGTTGTGGGTTCAATTCCCACCTCTACACCTTCTCCACCGACTCCCACTGATGACTGCTGTCGTTGTGTCCTTGGGCAAGACACTTAGCCCAACTTTGCCCAAAAGCCCCCACTGAAAGATCAAGGCTATGCTCACACTCAGAGAGCAGCCGTCCTCCTGTGGACTCACCACCTGCAGAGGGTCAGTGAGGGGCTGGTGCTATGAGACTTGGGTGGCATCTCTGACTGCCACCCCCCTGACCCAGAAATGGATTAAAGGGTAGAAAATGGATGGATGGATGGATGTAATCACCAGACAAACATGTGTTTGTAACTGTTATGACAAACATGTTTGTGTTCGTCATAACACTTACTGTTCTTACCCTGGTGTTAAGTGTAGCTTTTGCACAAGCCCACACTGCACTCTCACTGCTTATTAGCAGAGAAAACACAATGTGAGATATCAGATTTGCCTTTTTTAGGTCCTGGTCAACAAAAATGCAAGTATAAAAAAATAGATAAATAAAAAAAATGGATAGCTTACTTTTCTGGAAAACAAACTCTTTTGTCTGGATATATTTTAGATTCAGGGTTCATTCCTTAGATAGAGGAAATTTCATTCATCTCACAGTGGGAAACATACAAGTCTTCCAATAGTAATTAACGACAGAAAGGATGACCATGGTCTAGCCCGAGTGTGACAATAAAACATTGTCAGGAGCAACAGAGTTGTGCGGCTCAATTCTTTCATTATGTCAGTTTGGACCCTGTACACTCACTTGATTTTTTTTTTTTTTTTAAATATGCCTCCATTCACATTTTAGAATAATAATACAACATTTAAAAAGAGATTGTTGACATGCAAGTGTAGCCCAAGATGTGTCCTAAAATGTCACATTTATTACTTGCTTTTGGGATACCATTGTCTCAAAGTGAGCGGATCATTGTGTATTTTTCATTTATTGAGCACTTAGCTGACCATACGGATTACACCACATGAAGCTCAGAAGGGGTAGACAGAAGCCTTAAAATGCATATGTGGGCTATCCCAATATTGTGTTATAAAAACTCTTTCATGCTTTGTGCAACGGCACATGTTCCTGAATTCAGGAGAAAGGACCAAGGTCCCTCACTGCGATGTAAAGAACGTCTAATTGAGTCCACAGGGAGGAAAATGATAAACAAAACACTGAGCTATTTGTTTTTAAACTCATTCATTGTGGTTTTTGATCTATTCACAACGTTTGTGTTCGATTGTGTTTGCGTTGGCTTTCTCAGTAAATTCTTTATTTATTTATAGTATGAAGCATTGCTTAATGTTGTATATCAATTCAATAAAAGAAATCAAACGAGATGACTTTGTATGTTGAAATTTTGAAGTAGATTAGGAGAAGGTCTGATTTAGCATTTAAAATGTCAGTGGCTCAGTGGTAGTTACTTTTTCATTAGACCCAGGGTTGTGTCAGCTTATTAGAGTCTGAATGTTGCCCTGGGGAGTGGGCACAGGGTACACTGTTGGTAAGCATGTTCCCCTCTGTGGAGAAGACTACATGAGATAAAGTGTTATAGTATTATTTTCTCTAGGCACAGTGTGAGGTGTGATAAAGCCCATTTATAAAGCTCATGTAGCCGTTTTATTCGTTTGAACCTTGTCCGTTTTATGATAAAAAAAATTTACGACCTGTCCTTAAACCTGTCCGTCGGTTATATCCATTTAGTAAGAGGTTATGTGACTTTGTTGGTTATCAGCGACAGCGTGGTTGTGAAACGTGCATTACTGTTATGAGTATAATGTAATCATTAGTTTACACACACTGTAGAGATCAAAGTCTGAAATTCAACTTATGACTTTGTAAAATTCAGAAGTGTTTCCCCTCTCAATATTATGGCATGTGGCCAATAGAAAAATATCTGTAAAAATAACCATAAAAAGGTCTTTTTACATGTTGATGTCTGGTTTTTACTGCATAAAGATTGGAGTTTCAGATGTTTTCCCTGGAGAGCTACTGTTATTGGATTGAAATGACCCATTTTAATAATCGAAGGACTATCAGTCATTTAATGGATGGTTTGCAGTTACCTATATGCTCATTGAAATTTCCCCACTGTGGGACAAATAAATGATTTATTATCTTATCAAATATTCTCCATTTATTAAGGCTTATGTACAATAGTTGCAATAGAAAATGAATCCTGTAATCTATTTATTTCAGGGACAGTGCCTATTATATTAATGAACATGTGAAAATATGTTTTAAGTCAAGTGACAATTTATCATCTGCAGTCCCATGATGGCCGAACATTGTTGCTACACAGTAAAGTCACATGAGTATATTTGAAATATTGAGCAGATTGATTGCCATTTTGAAATCTCTTGGAGATACTTGGTTGGGCGCAGTAAGACACCAGTGGATTCCCAGCTATAGGTTAAATACCCCTAATGTATTTATTGCACCTGTAAACATGAGTCTGAATAGGAGTTGGTACGAAACGTATCTCTTTAGAGAATGTTTCAATGTGTGCTTTAAACTTTGTTTCAGAATCCTGCACAGCTCAAATGAGTCACAAGTTGTTTTCAAACTTTCTAACTTGTTTAAGTGAAATGATCTCCCGCACATGTTGCATGACTCTGCCAAAGTCCATGACCTCAAATCTGAGCCTGGTCCAGCAGCAGCTGAACTGTGTCCGATCCCAAGGGTCAGCTCAGTCTCACGCGGTTTCTGTTTATGGCAGTAAATGCTTTTGTTGATATCCTGCATTGCACTTGAGTGATAATATTGTGTCATTCAAACCTTTATACCTTCCTGATATTGTTTGCTGCCATCTAATGGACATTTTTATTTACAGAAATCAAAACCGTTACACCATGTTTGATAAAATATAAAAATCTATTCTATACATCATCACTGTAAAGAAAAACATTAACTCGGAGTGGGACACCCATCAGACATGCACAAAATCACTACCAATACTCAATGATATATAGTAGGATTTTCACAAAGTTTAGGAAAGAACCGCCTTCTCCACCTTGAACAAAACTCTCCGATCTTATTTGACGAGCACGTATCACCAGAAAGAATGACAATTGGGTGGACCAATAGTCTTGATGATCCACCCGGAAGTAGTCAATCCTCCTATATACCTTTTTTAATTAATCCATTTGTGATCAATAGATGAACACGTTTCAGTGCTAAACTTTCAATAAAGATAACATTATTGATAAACGTTAATAATAACATTGATTATTGGTATACTGTATTGAGTTTGCAATTCTTGCAGAACAAATGAATGTAGATTTATTCAAAATGCACCAGCATGTTGGTAGATGCTGGTGCTAGATACAGTATATTTTTATTCTGACATGACTCTTACTGATGCTGTGTTGTCTTTCACAGGTGATTACTTGTTTTGGCCTCTCGGTGGTGTCCTGTCATTATGTGGGCTTTGCTGTGGTCGCCCTCCTGGTGGAGATCAACTCTGTCTTCCTTCATCTCCGGCAGATGCTGCGAATGGCCAACATCGCCGTGGGAACATTGTACCGCGTCAACAGCATCATAAACCTGGGCACTTACGTGGTGTTTCGCATCAACACACTGGCGTGGATGACTCGTTGGCTGGTGCTTAACCGGGACAAGGTCCCTCTTCTGGCCTATACTTTGGGCAGTGTGGGAATGGCCATCATGACAGTCATGAATATAGTGTTGTTCTATCGGCTGCTCAGGACTGACTTCCTAAAAACAAGCACACGTGAGACAAAAAAAGACAAAGACATGTAGATAATAATGAAGACGACAGAAGTGGTGAGATTTTGAATAATGTACATTTTTGTATTGTGTGGCGTGGCATGGCATATGACACCCTGTTAATATAAATAAGAAAATATACTGACTAATACATTTTCTATAATAGTACAGTTATCCTTAAGTGCCATTTTTTCTGAGCAACGCATAACTTTGCCATACAGTCCTCGTCCAACTTAAGCTATTTGTGCTAAATGTAGCTTACTTTAAAGTTCAAATGAAGATGCACTGTGTGTTCCAACATCTCAGTGAGGATTCACTTCATGAATCCATTTGAACTCAAAAACAAGCTGTTATTGTGCTTAAAAGACCAAGACTGTCTATCATGCTCTCGCACTACACGCCTCAACTCGACAGCCGCCTGCTACCTCTGAGAACCTCTAGCAGATCCGATTACTGTGTGTTTGCCCCCACCAATTACTCCTTTGCTTCTAATTGAAACATGTTTATTTTTGTACACACTTGAACAAAGTAAAAAAAAAAACCTGATCTCTTATATAAATAAAATAGTTGATGGATTTGTTGATCTGGAATATAATTTATAAACCTAGTATTGAGTCTTTACCTGGACTTCTATGAGAGAGTAAATGCCAAACTAAATTATAGATAGAAATGACTGGACTCTGAAGATTGAACAAAGCAATTGCTCAGAACACTATTGATACATTATTCTGATAAGTTATGCGACTTTTTCTGTCATTTGAGATGTTGTCAAGTAAATGGAAGTAATATTTGAACTTTACAACAACACCAGGTGCCCAAAGTGCTTTGCATACACTAAAGAAAGTGTAAAAAGCTAGTTACCAGGAAACTTTGAAGGATCTGTGAGCCAAACTAAAACACACGGACTGGCAGCTGCGAGAATGTGAATACACTTGAAATATTAACTTATGCAGGAAGTCACACTTAGTAACACTAACTGGTGATGCCATAATGTCCGCTTGTTTGTATCTTGCACTGATCCATCTTTTTCACTCCCAATACTGATGATTGGTCTCAGAGTGAGTCAAACGCAACGAGCCGGACTTATATGACGTAGACTTTTAAAACGGCAGGATTAGGGTTTCACTAATATTGATGTCAGTCAGTGCAACTAACAAAACAATCATCTTTATTTCATATATCCATGAAACCAGAATTTGAAAACCAGAGTTCCACTAAAGCCTGCAATCTGAAAATAATTATACTGGTGATCATAGCTCCTCGTGATGAAGTTTCTCCTGTAACTTTGTAGTAACGGGTTGAAAAGCTTCCAATCTGTGAGTTTTTGATACCATTCATGTTTGGTCCAGATGCTACAGCACTTTTTTTATGATTACAATGATCCTTTGTTTTTTTCTTATTTTGTAACGTATTTCCTAAATATTGTGAACCTGAAAACTGTCATAAGCCACTGATGAGGTTGTTGAGTGAATAAGAATTGGCTCCCAGACGCCTCTGATTGAAGAAACTGCATTCACCAATTGTGACAAAACACTGCTTTGAAATGTGTATTAGTCGCCTTAACAAATTTGTTTTGTGAATGTATTTTGAATCATTTTGTGGCAGCTTAATTTTGTATATTGTACATCTGTTGAGTTGATAATGAAGACTTTAAATGGTTGTTATTTGGTTGTACATGGCTTTAACATGTGGAGTGTGAGTGATCCACGTTTGTGCTGCTGTCTGTACACCATTCTTTTCCAAAAGGATTGTGTAATCAATAAAACATTAGTCGTTTTCAATGATCAAACCATATTGTAACTTGAACAATGCATTTTATTATCAACGCTCTGCGACTGTAGCATGTACATTAAGGATAACATGTAACCAACACTAAAGGAAATAATGCACAAAGTCAAAGTTCTGTGATTGGCATTGGTCTTTGGTTGTTGGTGTGTTTTGTCTTGCATTATTATTTGGCAGTTATTATTTTGGTAATGGAGTAAACACATTGTTGGTAAACGAATGCAATAGATTATTTTAGATTTTTCAAAATGTGAACGTTAATACAAAATGGTAAAGCCAAAATCTGCCCACTTAACAACTGACAACATTAGTAAAAAAATAATATACATTGAATTTGTTTTAGGACATTATGGAGTAACACAAAAAGATGACTCGTTCCGTTTAAGCTCCGGACAGAGACAGATCTACCCACAATTCTTTGATCATTTTAAAGGAGGGCTGGGTCTACAGACTCACAGCTGTGGAAGGTTTTATTGAAATTGTATTTAGGGACCTGTAATAAAGATAAAAGCTCTCCTTTGTTGCAGATTTTATAATCAAACTGATCAGAGCGTCGAGCCCACTTCCTGGCTTCATTTTGATAATTGGGATTTCAAATAAAAGCATAAACCTGTTAGTAACGTGGACGAAAAATATTCAAATATATTTTTGTAATGATAAGTAAGTTAGTAACACATTTCAGCAAATATTTCACATTTTATGCTTTATGGGCTGAAATTGAGTGGTTAACTATATAGGAGATCCAGAATTGAACAAGCAATGGATGTAGTTATTAATCCTTATTTCAGACTTATTCAATTGGCCCATTAGGACTCAATATTTACACCGTAGTACCCTTGAGAGCAAACAATAGCATTGATCACTTATATTATTGTACTTATAATATTTTGAATATTATTTCCAGGAACAAACAACATTTTATCTGTACGTGAAGTGTGCAAAATCACAACTGTTCTGAATGAGTGCTTATAGAGGTCGTTCACCAGGAGGTTTTTATTAGAACAAAGATTGGACTGCTGAAGAAGATGACATAGTCTGGGATCGCGTCTTTAATTCAGACAGAAGACATGTTTTATTGTCGATGGTAGAGACAGCACGAACAACACAAACAACAGAATGCAAGTGTATTATACAGAGCGGAGGCATGGAGACCTCCAATCAGCAGCTTCCACAGTGTGCTTGTAGCTTGGCCTTCAGATAGACAAAACAAGGGAAAAGTACAGGCTTCTGCACATTGATAGAATGATGAGTTTAACTTTAACAAAAGTTGCTTAAAAGTGTTATGAAATCTCACATTCCCCCCTCTGGTCACACATTCACGTGTGACCATCAGGATCGATAAACAGCAACATAACATCATAACTCAATACTTAAACTCGGTACTTCAAAAAACTCAGAACTCGGAATACTTCTAAAACTCATAAAACATGTTCAGATCTTTCATAAAACTTGTCAACAATCTTCAGTAAAATACCAAACTTCATCAGTCGATGGTGGTTCCAGATATTGCTTTGAAAACAGTCTCTCCCACTTTTCCGTGTTGATTTCTTCAGGCTGCATTGTTGTGTCGAGCCATAGCAGTGAATTCTTCTGTGACGTGTCTTTTAATCACACGTTTCAGCTTCAGTGTCCAGATTCAGCAATTCAATTCAGTCCAGATTATGTCCAAATTCAGAAATCCAGATTGTTCCAAATCATGTCCATGCAAAAGAGGACGATGGTGTTGTCCATGTCTCAGCAGCTCACAGCAGGCCTGAGTGGAATCAGGGGCTGTGCAGATTGTCCATGTGCTGATCCAGATGCATTCTCTTGAGGTTTCTCAGTTTTGGCTTAAAAAAAAAACACTTTTCGTGTAAAAAAAAAAGTAGTCTTCTGTTCTCTAGATGTTACAGACAAGGCCCGCATCCTTCCACCACCTGAAGAAGATGAGCCAAGTCTGGGATTGTGTCTTTCATTCCGACAGAAGACATGTTTTATTGTCGATGGTAGAGACAGCACGAACAACACAAACAACAGAATGCAAGTGTATTATACAGAGCGGAGGCATGGAGACCTCCAATCAGCAGCTTCCACAGTGTGCTTGTAGCTTGGCCTTCAGATAGACACAACAAGGGAAAAGTACTGGCTTCTGCACATTGATAGAATGATGAGTTTAACTTTAACAAAAGTTGCTTTAAAGTGTTATGAAATCTCACACTGCGTTTATCAAAATCAATCTTATCAATCACACACAAGTCCTTACCGTCTGAGAAGAGGGTTGGGATGTTTAATTCTAGATCAAATATACTCAGAGAATTAAGTAGTGTGCCTTCCACAGACAGTTACTATGTGCTTTACAATTGTTAAGGGGCATTTGTCCTCTCACTCCACACACCGTGATGGAAGTGGGGTAACCTTACAGGAGGCCGCCGAACCTACTTTACAAGTTTTTAGAGGCAGGGGAAACCGGAGCAGACACGGGGAGAACATGCAAACTCCACACAGAAATCAAATCCATGACCTTCTCGCTGTGAAGCACAAGCACTGTCATCAATGATCAAAGTCGGTATGCTTTATTACGTTCACTGTCATATCTCTTAAATCCTTCTGGCCCAAAAAATAATGAAGGCTCCTCTAACTCTCCTGGTGCATTTGAACCGATAACAGAGTCCTTTTACATTCACACAATTCTCTCCCTTGTTGGACTCAGTTTTCTCTCATAGTTTTGTTCCTTTGTTTGACAAAGGAGCAAACTTGAATAATGATAACTTTATCAGAATCAGAATCATTTTTATTGCCACGTAAGTAACAGGAGGTCACAGACTAGGAAATTGCTTTGGCTCAGTGCAACAGTCAAAAAGAGATAATAAAAATAAGAATAAAAAACACTTCTAAAGAATAAATTTAAATTTAAAATAGAGTTACAGTTACTATTTACAATATACAAGTGCACATGGTGCACACAATGTAAGGTGACAGCAGTACAGTGAAGTAAAGTGACGTATGATGGGCAGTAAAGTGACTTTATAAAGGGCGGGGGGACAGGTTAAGAAGTGTTCAAGAGTCCAACAGCAGAGGGGAAGAAACTGTTCTTGTGGCGGGAGGTTCTAGTCCTGATGGACCGCAGCCTCCTGCCTGAGGGGAGTGGTTGGAATAGTCCATGTGCAGGGTGAGAGGGGTCGGCTGTGATACGACCAGCCCGGCCTCGAGCTCGGGCGACGTACAGGTCCTGCAGCGATGGAAGGCTGCGGCCGATCACTTCCTCTGCA